TATCACTTAAATAACTCTACTATTAAATTATTAATCTATTAACTATTAATCTATTAAATAATTCTTAAATAACACTTAATATGTGGCTTAGTAAAGGCCACATAGCATCACTGCAAGTTGCATGTGAAACAGTTTGCTGAATAAAGAAAAGTGATAGGAGAAGTGGGCACAAGGCTCTCTCTGGAAAAGGCTTGCCGATCTCTGAAGAATTCATGCTCTGCGGTGCCCACGTCACACCGCACAGGTATAAATTAGGCAGAGAGCCCGCCTATGTATAGGCCGATCGACAACAGTAGAAAAAGCAAGGTGACAAGTCCTCCTGGTTCATCCAGGACTGAGGGGGATGCTCTTGGACGCAGAACTTGCAATTCTCAAACAGGGAAAGTGCTGGGCGAACTGGCATAAACTGGTCATTCTAGCAGAAATGTTCTTTACTTTACTTTGCCAGTAAAGAACATTTAAAATTTGGGGTGGAATCAATTGGCCGAGTAAAATAATGAACTAGTAATTAAAAATATATTCATTGTTTAAAGGACAAATAATAATATGGTAATCTGATATTTCATATGAAAATCAAAAGACTCAAATTGACAAGTAAAATATTTAACATTCGTTAAACCCAAAATGTGATTTAATTTCACCCAAACATCATCTGCTGCATTAAAGTTGTTAATTTGCATTTTGTTAACGTTAGAGTTTTGTTTGCACTTAATTTGTAATTTTGTTTGGGTTGCATAAAGACATGGAATTTATAGCTAGAATTTTACATTTGTATGTGTTTAAGTAACATTATAATAAAACTAATTTGGCCAAACACTGAGGCTTCAGAACTAATTTTCCTTTGAAAGAGGTCTGGACATTACTTATGTCTAAGAAAATTCCTCACAACAATTCCATGAGGTAGTTACTATTATCCTCATTTCTTGATCCACAGATGAAGAAACTGAGACTACAGTCACGAAGCAAGTCACTAGTGAAGCTGCAACTTGAACCCAGGTTAGCCTAAGTTCAAGCCCATGCTGCCTCGTTTAGAGCAGGGAAAGACAGTCTACTGGAGTCCCCTGGTTGGGTGGTGTGAGGGCGTGTGAAAGCCAGAAGGCAACCCGGGGCTTCACGGTATTCAAAAGGCAGGAACAGGGCTGCAGAAGAGGTTAAGTGGGCGCAGAAAGCAGAGTGGGGCAGAAAGCTCAGCCACGGGCCCTCCTAGCAGCCCACAGACCTGACGGTTTATTCATTCCTTCTCTACGAAGTCCTGTGCTGGGTGCTAAGGATACAGAGATAAATGAGACTGTGCCTTCCCTATCTTCAAGGAGTTCACAGTCTTGCTGCTATCTTAAAGGATGTCTGCCCATAAGTGGACTAATTTGAAAGTCTGCAGATCTCCAACATCCCCTCCTGCCCATGTTTAGCAAAAGTTTCAGTCCAGCTGAGCAATGTCCATGCAAACTCTGGCCCTCTCCTGCTAGAAAACAGAAAGTAGGGGAAGAAGAAAAATGGAGAAGTAGCAAAGAGATGTATTCGGTTACCCATTCAAGAAATATTTGTGGCATACCTACTATAGTAATGGAGCTATGCTAGGCTTTGGGCACAAATGATCCAATTCTTGCCCTCAAAGGACTTTTACTAATAACAATTACTGCAGCAAACACTTAGACAATGCTGCTATCAGCCAAGCACCGTTCTAAGTGCTTTATATATACTAACTCATTCAATCCTCACACCGGCTCTATGAGGGGGGTATTATTATTACCCTCATTTAATTGAGCCATAGAAAAGGTAAGCAATTCATCCAAGACCACACACACTAGTAAGGCTAAGGTTAGGATGGGTACCCAAGCAGTATGGCTCTAGAAGCCACCATGCTTGTATCTATTACACTACAGAGATGGCTGAATGTCGGCCTTAAGACAGTGGGATTCACTTGAATGACTAGACCAACTCTAGATTCCCCTACCCCTATCCCAACCCTCAGCACGGTGTTGGAAAGAGCATGGACTTTGAAGTTAGGCATGGAGTCAAATCCACGCCTAACAGCAATACTGCACAGCCTCAGTTTTCATGTCTCTAAATTGGTCATAATAAAAACTGGGCTATTTTTCACATTAAATGAAATAACATATACACAGTTGGCCCTTAGTAAATGCTAATTCACTTCCTATTGTCAAACCTAGCTCCCTCTTTCTGGTCCAGTTCAGTGTCTTTCCCGCCGCTTCCTGTCCATTCTCAAGTGGGAGAGAGATGCAGGAGGAAATGGGGGAAAGGAAGAGAAGGAGTTATGGATTTACTTATTTTGCTGGGATTTCACTCTCTGAAACTTTGGACACATCCCCGAAGACTCCTAAAGTTCCACTCGGTCCTGCATTTGCAGGAGAGGCTTTCCTAACTTAGAATATAGACCAGAAAGGTGAACGGGAGGTTGCTCAACCAAGAAAATAGACACAGGGCAAATGGTCATTAATCCATACTATTTCATCAGACAATTGAGAAAAAGAAGAAACAGAAAACTTATTGACACTTTTGTTCTAAATGTTCACATATAAAGATTTTACTTTACCTTGTGTTTTCAGAAATACTCCAGACACATCAAATAAACTCTCTTGAACTTTAAAACAGAAAAAGAATTGACTGAGGTATGTGTGTTTGGGAGTGGAAGTACAGGGATGGGAGTGATACAAGGAAAAAAAAATAAGAGTACTAAGCTTAAAGCAGTTGTTGTTACTCTCTGCCTCTTCCCCTCTCCCCTCTCACATTCTCCAGAAGGTGCCGGTCACAGAGAGACACTGTTTAGTCTTAGATGCTTCTCCTGGGAAGGTATGTTCATCCCACCCACAGCTCCACTATACTGAAAATCATTGATTTAAAAGCTCTTGTTTTAAAAAGGACTTTCAGTTCTAAAGACTGCCATGATCATAGGTTAATATTTATGCAGTAAAAATTTGTGCTAACGAGAACAATTCTTCTAGTCACGTATTAATAAACAATCAAAATGCAAGTGGAAACTATTGAAATACCACTGTATACATCTTTTAAAGTAAAAAGAAAAAACTTCTAATGCCACCTTGTAATGGTAAGACTGCAAAGATGGTTTTGTGAATTCTCTTGGTAGCTCTGTAAATTGGTACACCTTTCAGAAGGCTACAAGTCAAGACAGAGTGAGAGTCTGAAGATGTTTCTACTGACTAACAATCCTCCTAACAAGAAAATACCCTAAGGAAGTTATTCAACAGAAGGAAAAGGGACATAGACAAGGACTATCATTACAGAATCCCTTATTAAAGCCACAACAAGGCAACAATCTCAACATCCTGTGAGAGGCATCCAATGTACCCCAAACATTTTTCTGTGGTATTGCTCATCGTATTTTAATGATTCAGTTGACAACTGTCTCCCCACTAGACAGTAAGCTCCATGAGCAGAGGAGTTGTCTGTGTCTAGAACCTTGGCACATAATAAATGTAGACTGTAGGAATTAAGAACAGATATTGAAATATTTGTCATATAGTGTTAAATAAAAATAACACAATATGTACATCAGAACTGAAACTGTGTAATATATATATATACACACACAGGCAAATGATTATACAAAAATGAAAAGTTATATTAGGATGGAGAAATCATTGGATAACTTTTAAATTACTTTAAATATTCTTTAAAGTGGTTGTTTTAGTGCCCCTGAAATGTAAAAAAAGGGAAAATATTTGCTGTTATACACCCCAAACACACCATATAGGGATGAAACGGCAATTACAAAAGCTTGAGGAACCACCCCAGCACTCACCTACAGGCACTCAGGTATTCTTTCTTTGCTTAAGAGTAGAAAAACCCATAACACTTATAGATCATAGGTAGCATAATCCTATTTTTAGTAAAAATCTGAACCAAAGGCAACATGTTTCAAAGAGACGGGGGAGAAGTCCTCTAAAGCAATCCCTCTTTGGACGGTGAATTTGCTGGTTACTAACAGCAGGGGGTGCCAGAGGGATCGCTATTGTTCCCAGGAGATGGCCAGGACTGTCACGGCCTTGTTAGAAAAGCTCAAGCCGTGCTTAGAAAGCGCAGCTGGTTTTCCTGGAATGACCGGGACCTGTGGTTAAAACTCTGGTGCTCTGTAGACCTGAAAGGACAAAAATTACATTTTTATTTTCACTAATTTCTAACTGATATTTAGCACTTCCTTGAATTTAAGTGTAGTCAACAAAATCAAGTCTTAGCAGTCCTGGGGACTCTGTCATGAAGGGAACTCGCAGCTATTGTCCCAGCACATTACAGTTGCTGCAGACTCCTCAAATATCATTTATACTCATCACTACTTTGAAATGAGAGACCAGGAGTTCCTGTTGGACCTGCTGCTGGATCCTGTTATTTAATCTATCAATAAAGCCATACATATTACTATATGACTGATTTGTAGAATAACTTGATAACTATTTAAATAGAACGGAATTCCTTTGTACTCCTGTGAATTTTATTTTCTGCGTTTACAAACACTTTTCTGAAAAGGGCTTTTACAGGCTTTACTAGACTGCCAAAGGCATAGGAACACTGCTCAGTCTAAAGAAGGCAACAGAGAGGAAAAGTCAATTTGATCTGAACAAAGTTGGAGAGCAAAAGAAGCATTTTAAGTCACAAGAGAAGTGGCTGCGACACATATTTTCGTGCAGTTTGGACTCCTCGAAGAGAAAGCAGGAAACCCAGAATTTTTGCTTCACAGGCTCCAAACTTTCCCAGTATTTTCAGAGGCCTGGTTCACAAAAATGACATCCAAGGTACACCTAATACAGCTTGCTACTTCAAAGCAATCTGCATTTGGTTTAGGTGCAGAGGCATGAAATACAATGCAAATGTTGTCCCCAACATCTCTCTGGAAGTAACCATTACATGTGGACTCCTCACATACCAAATACCATCCCCTTGGTGAACAAAACCAAAATTAAATCCAAAATACAAGAAGGTAGAGATGAGACACTAAGATAAGTAACAGATACTAAGATACTCACATTCGAACAAAGAGTGACTCTTTGGATGTCAGACCTGGAGATGAATATTTTTCAACCAGGGCCAAAGTGCTGAAGCCGAACTTATGAATGGGCTCGTTGGAATCCAGCGGGGGGAAATCTGTGTCAACCTCCCCGTCATCCTCAGCGATATGCAGGCAGTAGGCACTAACATTGTCACTGAAAGAAAAACCAAGAAGGTGAGTGAATGCCAAGGTGAGGCAGGGACGAGACCAGAGGCCACAGCGTACAGCAGGCAAACTGGACACTGCCATTCTTTACCTCATAGCCTGTGGGACAGTTAGATTCCCCAAAACCTACCGCATTTGATAGAGAGAAAAAACACGGCAGTGCAAAGGGACAGAAAAACAGTGCGGAAGGAGAGCCTCTACACCACTCCAGGCTTCCCACAAATATCACTGAGCACCTACTGTAGGTGGAACACAGAGCCCCCCCTTAAATCAAAGATGAGATTTAGTATCAGCCCTCGAGGAAGCTTATAGTACAGCAGGGAAAAAGGAAGCATGACGTTAGCTATAACAGCAATGTAAATAAAATACATATCACAAAAGGATACAAACAAACCATAAAATAGGAGCAAAAATTATTTGGGGGGAATCAGAGGCCTCTGATTTATGGCCAGGATTAAGAAAATATCTGTGCCCTAGCTTGGGAGAAGTACTCAAAGTAACTAAGACAATCTATACAGTTCTCCTTTCTCTGCGGTAAAGCAGACTCACTTGGCCGGATCTGATTCCAAACACCAAGCATACTTCACAGAGTCAAAGCACATGCCCCGATTTACCCTGACGCAGATATCTGGCCCTCTCGCTGCCTCCTGGACTTCTCTCATTTCCCTAGAATGTCAGTCAGTAATCCCTGGCTCCCGCCTTGCCCACTTTAGAATCAACATGCACCTCCTTCTCTTTCTTTGGGGGAAGTAAAAAGTCAATTTGTTGGAAAGATTGGGAAACCACACCAACATAAAGACAATTTAAAACTGAAGTCAACTTAAATACTTTAAGGTACCTTGCTCCAAAGCTGAATTGGGAAACTGCAAATCTGCCAGCACTCAGAAGCATGAACCTAATAGTTCAGAAAGCGGTAGGATTCTAAATTCTGCAGCTTAAATTTGGAATTTTAATTATATGATTGATGCTTAAATTAATTAATTGCAAGTGTATGCTAATTGTTTAATTGGTTGCTTGATCTATATAGATCATTTTTTGAATTAAATGAGTTGATTTACAAAGTTTATTGATTGGATGTGACAATGAATTATTTCACCGACTACCTGATTTGCAATTTTCCCAATTAATTCACAAATCTTTAGCTGCAACTCAGCTTATTGAGAGAGAGCCTACTTCAGGTGATCTATACTCAGTCTGTCATGACTAAGAGATATTTATTATATACAACAGGTAATAAGGACAGATTAAAATTAATGGGAACTGTAAATTTGTTAAATGGATGGATAACAAGAAAGTAATCTGGCTACGTTTGTCACTATAAATTTCATGTATTTGCAATGCTGATAAGAAATTTAAAATTCATCTCTGAATGGTATGGGAAACTTACAGATCTTTGCCAAAGGTTACTAACCTAACTTAAACACAAAACACTTGCAGAAGGAAGCCGTTCAGATGAGAAAACCGTCAAGGAGTAGTAGCCAAGAGCTTTGTGTCCAGAAAGACTTGAGTTGAAACCTAAGGTGTGGGGCCAGCCCGGTGGCGCAGTGGTTAAGTTCACATGTTCTGCTTCTCAGCGGCCCAGGGTTCGCCGGTTCAGATCCCGGGTGCGGACATGGCACCACTTGGCAAAAGCCCTGCTGTGGTAGGCGGCCCACATATAAAGCAGAGGAAGATGAGCATGGATGTTAGCTCAGGGCCAGTCTTCCTCAGCAAAAAAACAGAAAAAAAAAGGAGGCAGATTGGCAGTATTTAGCTCAGGGCTAATCTTCCTCAAAAAACAAACAGAAACTTAAGCTCCACTGCACATGGGCTATGCAATTTCAGAGAGTAAGTTTCACCTCCCCGAGTTTCAGTTTCCACTTCTATAAAAAAGGTATAATCACCTAACTCAGAGGTGGCTGTGAAGATTAGATAGTATATGTAGCATCTAGCACAGAACAGAGGCAACAAATAAATGGTATGGTAATTATAATAAAGTCAGATGGAAAACAACTCCTACAGTTATGTCAATCCTTAAAGAGAAATTGTGGGTACATATCAGAGCAATAAAGCAACACTGAAACTGAGTGACATGTTCCATGTACACACATCTGTTATTGGAGTTAACATGTCCACTGTGCTCCAGCCTTGGGGCCACAGAACCTCTAGGGTTTTATGAACAGGGCAGACACTGAGGAAGCAAGCAATGGACAGCACACATTATTTATTGCCGTGTAAATCATCCTGAGGAATGCCTGTGATTCGCCAGCACCACAGAGGTTTCAAGGGCAAATAATAAGCCTATTGATCGAGGCAGAAAGCCAAACATTGGTATCAGAAGAATTCTGCTTTGATTATCATGGGGCACTTCCAAAACCCCTCAAAACAAACTCAACAAATGTCACAGGCTAAGATTCGAGAGCCAAAAGACTCACTGTCAAGTGCTATTATTCTCCCCAGTTCTTAAATATGAAGTGTAAAATCCTTTATTCATTCCAAAAACATTTGCAAAGTGCCTATCCTGTGCCGTAACCTGTCCTAAGCACTGGGAACACAGCAAGGAAAAAAATGAATGAGTCCCCCTATATTATATAGGACTAACGGAAGTCTTTTCTGGGTCATAGTAAGTTTAACAGCAAACTGTGCTCCGCCCCCTACAACTCACAAATTGAACATCTGAGGGGAAAATGCCTACAATTCCATACTCTATGCATGGACATGTTGGTTCCTTTGTGCCTTTATAAAAGAATCGCTAACATGAGAAGTTACTGTGGTATTCTGACTTCTAAAACCGTGTCAGGACTCCCAATTCGGACAAGTACAATACCCATCAGCATCATTAGCTACATTTACAGAGTGCTGCGTGCTGGACACAAGCTCAGTGAATCTTCACACCAACTCTGTGAGTCATTCATTATTATTTGTATTTTACAAATTAGAATACTGAGGCTCAATGAGGTTAAGCGGTTTGCTCAAGATTAAAGAGCATGTAAGTGACAGAGCTGAGAGCCAAACCCAGGCCGTCATGAGCCCTCCCTCTTGACCCTCACCTGTCCCTCTGCCAAAGCCATGGTGTGTCAAGACTTCCCAAGGCCCTTGGGAACCCATGCCCCTATGGAAATGCTACATACTTCGAAAAGGAGGAAACCACAACACATTACTTATAAAAAATTAGAAGCTCAGAGATTTATTTCCACCTCCTCACTTTTACAGATGTGGAATAGACGCTGAGAAAAGAGGAATAACATGCCCACGATGACCGAGTTAGATTTTTGTGCGTGTGTGTGAGGAAGACTGGCCTTGAGCTCAAATCCATTACCAATCCTCCTCTTTTTGTTTGAGGAAGATTAAGGCTGAGCTAACTATCTGTGCCAGTCTTCCTCTATTTTGTATGTGGGACACTGTCGTAGCATGGCTTGATGAGCAGTATGCAGGTCCTTGCCCGGGATCCGAACTGGCGAACCCCAGGCCACTGAAGCAGAGCACATGAACTTAACCACTATTCCACCGGGCCAGCCCTGATCATCCAGGTAAACAGTGGTAAAGCTGGTCCTAGAGAACTCAGATCTCCTTACTTCTGTTCCATTATTCTCTGATCAAATCAGAAATTGGTAGCATTTTGAAACGGGGAGAGACAAAAGGGCAGCTGTGGTCCCTGACTCAGGAATCCCCCAAATATAGATATCTGGAGCTTACAAACAGTGAAAACAGGGGCGCCTCCTTATGACACAGTTTGGTGGAAGGAAGAGGGGGTTTGCAGTCAGATCTGGTTTTAATGCTACCTCAACCACTAACCAGCTCTGTGAGCATCTCCTACTGAGCTCCATTTTATTATCCATAAAAAGCTTTCCTTGATTTCTCTAGGAGAATCGTTTGGATTTCTAGGAGAATCCAACTGATTCTCCACTGTGGTCTTACAGAACTTGGCTAATATTTCTGCGTGTAACTTATCACACTGTTCTTTTTCTATTTATGTATCCACGTTCTCTTAAAGAGCAGATTCTTCTATTGTCTTTGCATCCTCAGTGAAGAGTAAAATGGCTGGCATTTAGAAAGTACTTAACAAATATTTGTTGAATGAATGAATATATGAATGTGTAGACTGAATCACTCTACCCATGAAAAAACATAAAGGGTATTATTAATGATGTGTGTGTTAACGAGAAGGGGAGAAGTAATAAGCTCTTCTTTTTCTTGCTTGTCACACTGATATCTGTTAACCAAATGGGGCTTTCTAGGCAATGCACATGTGTCAAAGATTGCAATTCAAGACAAGGGGAAAAGGCCACAGGCAGAGGTGAGGATGAAAGAGGCATTTTTACAGTTCATCAACATATGAGTACTGGCATCTCACTTTTTTACACTGAGAAATTATCACAACTATGTAAAAATGTTCAATTATATACATATAAAAAGACACGGAAAAGCACCAAAAAGTTTACAAAGGTTATGTTTACATTTAAGCAATGAGCACTTTTTTCTTTCTGAATTTCTATACTTTCCAGATGTCCCATAAGTATGTATAAATTTCATTCTCCTTTCTTCATAAAAGATTTATTTTTTGATAAGGGTAATACATGCTTATAGCAGACAATTTAGAAAGAAGAAAGAAGAAAGAAGGGTGGGAAATTTCTCACCCTGAGACACAGAGAGAATCACATGTCCTAAGGACTCTGAGCACTGCCTGCCTCACTCACCTCCCCGACCCTAAGTGTGGTCATTTTCTCTACCAAGTTCTGGAATTACAGAAGAAATAACCATATCTACTGCATAAGGGTCTTACAAGGATTAAGTGACTTAATTCATTGCACTGTGCCTGGCATGAAGAAGGATTCTCATTTTGCCAAGATCTCCTCCACCACTCTTAAGCTTCTGATTACACAGAAGCAGGATTAACTATCTAACAGAAGCACAGTGGGACAGCACGAGACAGAGAAATCCAAACGTCCTGCCTGTGAGTCACTATCAGAGAGGGAGGAACGACCAAAAGGCTAACAAACAAGTACAGGA